TACTTTTTAAAATATAATTAGTGATACATTTGAAGTTTCTAATGCCAATTTTTTATTATATAATTAATTTGTTTTTTTAAATTTATAATGTTAAATTGTGTTTAAATTATAAGAATTAAATAAATTTTTAAGTTTCAGAAAAAAATTGAGAATATGTTTATGAAAATATAATTAGTGATATTTTTTAATTTCTTAATGCCAAAAGCCTGTTAACATATATTATGTATTGAAGAATTTTAACTTGCAAAAACTTGTTAGTGGTTAGTTAACTTATCTCTTCCAAAATGTTTGAGAGTTCAAACCCTTTGATACGACAAATTTTTAATATTATAATAGTTAGTTAAAACTTTAAAAAAATTTAGTGTTATTTTTTCAATTAATATTATTTAAATATTTAGAATTTTTAAAAAATGAATAATTAAAAATATATATTTATTTGTCTCATATATCAAATGGCGAATTAAATATAAATTACTTTTCATATTTACTATTATTAATAGTAATAATAATAATTAATAATATGTTTTTTAATAATTAATGAAAACAGTAGAGTAATATTGCAAATATGATAGAAAACCAAGATAAAAAGTAAAACTGGAAAAATTTGTAAATAAACCTAAATTTAAAAAAATTAGTGGGACTAAATAAAATATTATTATTTTTATTATAATAATAATAATTATTAATTAAAATTAATATTTTTTTACAATAGACGATGCTTTTAAAAATAATAGATAGTAAAGGTGTGATACTATTTTTGGAAGAGAATTTCCTTTTATATATAATTCTCTTCTTTCATACCTGTGGTGAAAAATCTAAAACATCCTCAAAATTCAGATATGTATATTTGAACACACTTCATATTTTACAAAAAAAAGTGATTTCGGATATGCATATCCGAATACACCTCATTTTTTACGAAAAAAGTGGTTTCAGATATGTATATCCGAATTTTACAAAAAAATGAGGTGCGTTCGGATATGCATATCCGAATATATCTCATTTTTTACGAAAAAATGGTTTCGGATATGGATATCCGAAATTTGCTCTATTATAAAAATTTAAAAATACAATTAAAAATTACTACAAGGAAAACAGTTTTTAGCTAGGGGTTTTCCCCCTCACAATTGCAAAAACCCTCTCACAAATTTAAAATTTGCGAGGAGACAAGTCACCTAGCTAAATGTTGGTCGCAAATATTTTGCGTGGAGCTTCCCACCTCACTAATTAGCTTGGAGCATTCTCCTTCACAAAATGTAAAAATAAATTAGAGATTCATACACACAGAACTAGACACAGAATATGTGGCGCAGATAGGTGCAATATGTCAGAATAATAGGTTTGGGATAAGACCCTAACTAAACGACCTCCGTTTTTACATTTGTGTGGGGATAACCCCCTTGCAAATTGCTTGAAAGTTTTAAAAAAAAAATACTTAAATCATATATTTTATATTTTGTATAAGTAAATTTAAATAACATAAATTTATATAATTTTTTTAGACCGTTTTTTAAAAACTTAATATAGTTTTTATATAATTTTCTTAAATAATATATTTAAACTGTTTTTAAATTATTATTTTTAAACTATTTTTATAATAATATTTTAAAAAAACTATAATACTGTTTTTAATAAATTTTATACTGTTTAAAAAAAATGTTTTTTACACAATAAATACTGTTTTTAAATACTATTTTTATAATACTGTTTTTAAATAAATGTTTTTATAAAATAATATTGTTTTTAGATAAAGGTTTTTTTTAAATAATACCTTTTTCATTTAATACTTTTAACTCTTTTTAAACAATATCTCAATACAAATTTTAAACAAAATATAATTATCCAAAAATATATTTAATATTTATTAGCAATATCTATTTCAACAAATATATATCTATAATTTAAATAAAAAAACAGAAAATATAATTTTTTTTTAAAACTGTATCTTGAAGATGAACATTTTTGGTTTGAACTTCTTAGCTTTAGATGATAACAATGGAACCTAAAATCAAAAAACGAAAATTAAAATCTAAAATAAATATATTATATAATCTAAACAATATAAATTAGACATAAAAAAATATACAATGAAAGATTGTTACCTTCAAAAGATGAAATTTTATTGTAGAATTAAAAAGGATGGATGAAAGATTTAGAAAAGAAGAGAAAAATGGGAAAGAGTGGTAGAGAAGAAGAGAAAAATGGGAAAGAGTGGTAGAGAAGAAGAGAAAAATGGAAGAAAGAAATTTTGTGAGAGAAAAATAAAAGCTGTTTGGGATATATATATATATATATATATATATATATATATATATATATATATATATATATATATATATATATATATATATATATATATATATATATATATATATATATATATATATATATATATATAATTCAAATGGCGAGGGGTTTCCCACCCCACTAATTAGCTTGAGGCATTCCCCCTCGCAAAATGTAAACATTCTTTTCTACAGCCTGTATACGAAGCATCTGGAGTGACAATACATCAGACATTTGTGAGGGGGTCTCCAACGCTTATGCTACGAACACTTTTTGGTGACGTTATACCCCCTCGCAAAATGAAAAGTGTGAATATTTTTGAAATTTAAAACTCCCTCCATTTATATTGCGAGGGACTTCCCCACACCATATGTTTTTTAAATTCTGACTTCTGATTTGGATTTAGCGAGGAGTTAATCTCCAAGCAACTTCAGAATTTAGTGAGGGGTGAATCACCTCACAAAATCCCCTAGCTAAAAACATTATTTCTTGTAGTGAAATTAAATAAGATTAAATTAAGTGTCTATAAATTTTTTTGGATTTTTTTCTAATGAATTGACACATTAAAATTTTAATTCAATGTCGATTTTCCAGAAAACTTAATTTTTTACGTTAGATCGCTTAAATACCATAGACACAGAAATGCAAGGTCTAGAACACCGAAATTATTTAGTTACATTTTATTTTGTTATAAAATACATTCAGCTTTCGCCATTTTATTTTTAATTATAATAATTAAATTTCCAGAAAACTGAATTTTTTACGTTAGATCGCGTAAAAATTTAATTATTGCATTCATTGTTTAATTTCATATCATAAATTTATTTTAATATTTAGTTTCTTATTATAAATTCAAGTTATTGTTTATTAATAATAATTCAATTTAGTTATATTATAACTATATTATAAATAAATATTTTTTTTAAAATAAAATCAAAAGAAATTTAGAATATTGAGTTATTTCGGATATGCATATCCAAAATTCTCCTGAAAATGAAAAATAGGGATTCCTTCAAAGATGTATATCCGAAATAACTCAATATTCTAAATTCATTAGGTGTGTTCAGATGTGCATATTCGAATGGTATTTTCGAATTTTTAGTAGTGCAAATCACCACTACTAAGTATAAAGAGAAATTATCTTTTTAGAATAGACAGCGCTTTCAAAAATAAAGTTGATAAAAGACTGTTAATATTTTTGACATTAGATAATACTTCCTAAAGCCCTGATAAAAAGAGATTAAAATATTTTTGATATTAGACCGTACTTTTTAAAAACAAACATCGCGTGTTAATATTTTTGACATTAAATAGCACTTTCATAAATAAGTATTCGTAAAGAGGTGTTAATATTTTTGATATATTAGACGACGCTTTTTAAAATAAATGTTGGTACATCGAGCGTTAATATGTTTTCAATATTAGACATTACTTTTTTATTTATTATCGGACCATGTCTAATTTACTATTTAAGACAGCACTTTTCTTAAATTATAAGTGTTGTGATGTAGAATTTAAGAGAGTATTTTTTTACTTTGAGTGTTGTCTAAAAAAAAAAAAGGACTGTCTAATATATAATATTAAAAAATTTTAAAAAATTGTTAAACATATAGCAATGCTTATATAATAAAATGATGTCTAACAATTATTTTCAAATGTGCTATTTATTATCCCCTCGTGTATTTTGTCTGCGCTTTTATAAATAAGCATTGACAAAGAGGTGCTTCCTAAGTTTATTGGCAAGGATTTTTGAGGTGATTTATTGGCAACCTGCCAAGCAAATAAGTTTATACTCACTAAGCTCATAGAAATTTTCTCTTTTTGGGATCAACGTTATAAATAATGCCATGACTGCCTTCGAGAGTTTTGCATTTGCATGGAATTAGTTCACTTACTTTATAATGTCTCCTTTTAATGTTTTCAACACTTCTTGATAAACATAAAGTTGTACCCGTTTGACCTTAGACTTTTTTCTCCATCACTATGATGTTCCTTTTGTTGTTTTCATAATTGAGTGGTAAAAATTTGAATTTGAGTCTCCATCCAAATCCACAGTATTGTAGCATTTTTTTATGAAAATAAAAATTTATAATTCTCTAAAAAGAGAATATAGAAGTTATAACCCATCTGTAAAATTTTCCTCGTATATCTATATATTGTGCATGTTCATTGATTTTATTCTTTTACAATTTTCTTTTACATAAATCCAGAATATTGTAGATTTAATCAGAATAATTAAAGATACAAAAAGCACGTGTTAAATCAAGTTCAATCCTACCAATCATATTTAAATGAAATTCACAAAGGCAAAAAAATATTAACATGAAGTAGATTCGCTTGACTTTTGTGATTTTTTTAAAGAATAGATTCCTAAGGTTCAGTGGCACTGTTTATTTTACATTGAATCTTTGCTTAAAAAGCACGTATCATTAGATAAGTAGCTAACATGGCAAATAAAAAATTAATAAAAATCAAAAGTATTGGAAAGGACAAAAATAGAGACAAAACAAAAGCATTATATATTGCATTATTGATTCACAACATTATACTTTCCAAACATAAAAAGTTAAGGTAACAAAAAACAAAAGCAAAACTACTTAGGAAGATTAAAAAAGATTTTCACACCGCAGAAAATCTTACATAACCTCTAACAAATAGTAAAATTTGATACATAAACTATTCTTAGTAGTTCATAAACAACTTCATGATCATGCTTATGTTAGAACATTTTTTGTTGCTCCTTTTTTCAACTTTTCATCTGCAACATTAACCTCAATTCCATCAAAAATGTCTGTCTCTGATTTTGTACCATCCTTAATTGGCAAGTCTTGGATTTCTTTTGTGCCTTCACGAGGATCTTTGCTTTTCCCCCACACCACAGTGTAAAGTCCAGCAACAATGAGTATAGCTCCAAATATACTACAAAATTAATAACATATAAAAAAATTAATTACTTCTCATTTCATAGCTGAGGTGGACGCAGATGATTCAATAGTAACATTCAGTAGTATCTGAGTGAACTTCTCACTTCTGTAGAAGTTAAACTCATGACTTTTCGTTGTCTGAGTCAACTCTTATCGACTGAGTCAACCATCTTTGATAAAAATAAATTAGCGTAATTAATATTTTTTTATTTCAATTATTTATTTTTTGTTATTGTTGTTACCTTCCAAGATGAACTTGTTCTGCTAAGACAAGTGAACCCAATGCAGCAGTGATAATCATGCATAATGGACTGAAAGAAGTTACAAAAACTGGTCCACGTTCTCTTGTTACAACTCCTTGTACATAATATGCCATTGCAGAGCATATTACACCCTGGTTATATAAAAAAAATTAATTTAGATGAAATATTAATCATTGTTTAAGAAATAAATAAAAAGGTAATATAGACTTACAGTATAAACACAAGCAAGAAGCCTTGAGTCCCAACCTATGACCCACACACTCATGTCCCTTTCAAATATAAGTGATGCAATTGAACCCTCAATAATTCCCACTATACAAATCCATGCTGTGAGTGATAGCTCTGCTGGGTATTTCTTCAAAGTGAATGACTAATTCCCAAAAATAGAAACACAAATTAATCATCTAATTAATTAGGCCATTAACACTAATTATAATTAATGTTAGGGTTGGCTATGCTTACTTGCAAAATAAAGAATCCAGCCCAACTAGCACAACTTGCTATGAGCATTAATGGACCCATCACCCAATTTTGTTTGAAGGGTTCATCAGCAGCAGCATCGCTGTTGTGGTGGATTCCTCCTCCTTTTAAGATCTGAAAGGCAGGTCCTTTGTACAAAGTCATAACCATAGCTCCTGAAACGGTTATAACCGTTCCAATTACTTTGGCTACGCTATGGAATTTTCTCCAATTTACCGACTCTAACCTGGTTAATAATTCGTGGATTAAATATTTATTAGTTATCGAGCTATTTGAATTATATAAATTTTGAAAAGTAAATCAAAGATTAGAAAACTAAAGGAATCTGATTAGATATGCATAAATTGAAAATTAATTGTTGCTTATCTCAACTTGACACATTTGAGTTTGGACTATGTTAAATCAAGCTTTAATAATTTATTTAATTTTAAGATAAACCTTGCAAAGTGTGACAAACTAGTAGTTAGGGACAAAATTTTGTCCACTAAAATTAAATGGCCCCATGCTTCAAAAATGTTGGATTTTAATTATTTATTTTTCACTAGCACAATTGTAGTTAGCTTTTAAACTTTGTGTATATAACATTAATTTTTGTTTGTTTTTTTTATGGTGAAGTGATTGAAGCTTTACCTGAAAGTGAGTGCCATTATAAAAGTTAGAGCTGGAAGGACATTAACAACTGCAGATGCAAACGTTGTTGAAGTCATCTTCATTCCCATGTTGTACAAGTTTTGATCCAGTACAGGCCTGTTTGATTTTATTACCAAAAGAAAAAGTTATAATTAAATAATTAGTTACTATAGATATTTGACTTCAATTTCATTATCTCCATTTTGTACTTTTATCATAAAAAATGTAATCATGACTACGAGAAAATTATATTACTACTAATAAGCATGCATGTTAAATAATGTCATGAAAGATATACAAGATAAGAAATCTTTTAATAAGTAATAAGACAAAATAAAATATATCAACATTGATTTTATTAGAATTAAACTCCATTTTTCTTAGATAAAGTTTTAATTTTGAGTGGAAAAAAAATATAAAAAAATGATTTCAAAAGAAGACTCATCTAAAAGTAGACATACAGTTTTTTGTGTGTGGAAATTAGTAAGGAGCAAAAATAAAAAATATGTCACATCAATAATATGATTAATAAAATATAAATCGACATTATTGATATGAAAATTGTTTATTGTAAACACGACTACTTATGCATTAAGTTGTTCATTTGAGTTTAAAGTTTAAAGTGTTAAAGGCGAGTTCCAACTCATCTCAATGAAAAAAAATACTTAATATGTCAATTAATTATTAATATTTGTGTATAAAAAAGTTTGCTAAAAGAAAATAAATATGAAATTGATATCTAGCTAGTCTTATCGTTTATTAAAATCTATCAATGAACTTGAAAAAAAAACTACTTTTCTTGATGGTTATTTTTCCAATAATGACCTATAAATCATGTGATTCTCACACAATATATTAACCAATGATAACTTCACTCTACTTTGATGGGTTGTGTAACTTCTGTATAACTCATGCCATTATGAAAAACTAGTTAGTTAAGTAAAGTTTTAGTTAATTCTCATTTAATTCTATTCACCAAAAAGAAAGTTAGTTTATTTTGATTTTTTGCGAAATAATTAATGTATTAAACTATTGTACTTGGATATCTAATAAACCTGTGAAAAAATTGCAAGATCAAGATAAAAATATTGAAATCATATAACAAATAGATGAAATAAAAAGTTAGTTATATTCTATTGTTTGATTGTTATTATTTCCTAGGATTTTTTTTTTATTTCCTTCACCTAACAAGAAAGAATCTGGATTTTATATATACTTTAAATAAATAAATATATTAGGAATATAGGAAAAGGGTATATTGTAGGCATAGCTACTTATGCATGCATGCATATAATATACTTTTTAAAGAACATTATAAGTGTCTAATATTCCATGAACACATTAATTAACAGAACCAAATATAAAAGATTCAATTCTGAGATCCTGAGAATATATAATAGGTGGAAAAATCATGAAGAGCCTTACTCAAGGAAACCAAGTGCCACTATCCTCAAGAAGATAGGAAGAGTCATCTTTGGCCTTATTTTCCTGTAAAAATAAAGGCAGCATAATTACTAACAAAAATAAATTAAAAATAATAAAATTAAAATTTGTCAATTGTCAAGACATCAAAATTAAAGAATTATTTTTCATTTCAAATCTTCGTATAAAATAAATAATTAAACATAGGTGAAAGAGACGCAAAAAGAGGAAGAAAACGAAAGAAGAAGAAAATGAAAGAAGAAGGTACCTTTCGAGAACAAGCGCGAAAGGAATGATTATAATCGCAGCCACAACATGGCGATACACTGAGAGAATCCAATGACTCATACCATGTTTGAAAGAAACCATAGTAATGATGTACATCCCTGAGTAACCAAATTGAAGAGACAATATAGCAAGGTAAGGTTTCATCTTACGAAGTAATGAACCATTGTTAACCTTATCAATAGCATTTTGATTCTCCATTATATTGATCTCTTTTGATCTATGAAAAAAACACACACAAAGCACATACACAAAACTATAAGTTATGTGAAATTTGAGTTTGTGGGTGACCTTGAAAACGCAAAACGGCTTTTTATAGACCAAAAAAGCTAAATTATTTATATAAAGAAAAGAAGAAAAAAAAGAGAAATCCCAATTTCACACAACACCGGCACTTAATAATGCCACTAACTCTCTCACCTCAATTTTTCACACCTTATATATTCTCTTATCCATTTTGTAAAACAAATCAATTACTAGAATCCTATTTGATGTTTATAATAGAATAGAATCAATGTAAATAAAATTTATTGTTCTCTTATTGTGTCTCTTCACTTTCTTTTAGTTTGCTTAATTTATGGGAAGTGGGAGATGTTTGATTTGGTTGACCATCAAATGGAATTTAAGTTTAGTGCTTAGTCATGACGAAAGCAAATATGTTCCTTTGTGATGTTGTTAAGAGTGGGAGTTGTACATGTGGACACCATTTTTAGAGATATGAATGAGTAAAGATTTATTAGTTAAATTTGTGCTTTTACCTCTATTAACTAATAACTACCCTAAGTCAATTATTAATAAGATCTTATTTAGATTGAACATATGGAAGAAGAATATGATATTTTTCATAAAATCTTGGTGAAATTACTTAATAACACTTGGAGTCGTGGAAGACACTATAAGACTCAAAGCTAAATTTAGCCCGTACGTTTAAGAAGGCATGAAATGCATGTCTACACTAAACTGTGTTAGATATATACACGTAACATTAATATTAGTGTCTTTCTATAACTTGTCTCATATTATAAGTGTTTTTTTATTTATTTATAAGCAATTTGTATTAAAATAGCACAAGGGTGCTAACAAAAGGATGACAAAAACAACCCCTAAAAAACACAAACAATTATCCACCAACATAAGGATTAGAGTTGTAAATATTGGAAGGAAATCCACAAATGCATCGAGATAAATCAATAATATAATCTCTCTCAAATACTAAATATAACGACAATCAACAAAACACATAAAATAACATAACACAATTTTAACGTGAAAAAACTTCCGTTAACTAGGAGTAATTAATCACGGGACTCGTAGGTCACTTAAAATATCTATTATAATCAACAATGGGTATAAGCAAGGTTCTCTCTAACACTAATTAGAGGCATACATAAACATCATCAAGATTTACAATCTATTTTGGAATGCAACAATAATCAAGAGAGACAAAATAATCCAAAACACCAAGAAATTCAGACCTCAAAGATGAACTCGACAGACCGACTTAGAAAGCTTTGAATCCAATGAAAAACGTTCAGATTGTGCTCATATGAATCATGAACATTGTGTCAAAATTTTAGAATGACCCGATCGTTGGATTTTGTGCAAGCTCTGGTTTTCTGAGACTCATTTGTGTAGAATTGGGGCTGCGGGAATAGAGTTTTCTCTCTAGCTTTTCTTGTTGTTTTCTCACACAATGAATGAATAACCTAATTCTCTTTGTTGGGTAATAAAAAGGGATAGAAACACATGGACCACTAACCCACATCCATTTAGGCCTCTCAAAATAGGAGGGATAGCCCAACAAACTCCCTCGACCGGCTAGTTAGAGGGCAACACCAATTCGGCTACCGTGCGACAAAACTCAAACATTCCTCTCGGAAACACCTTCGTCAATATTTCCAAACCATTGTCATCGGTGTGAATCTTCTCAAGCTCCATCAAATTGGAATTTAATGCACCATGAATCCAACGATAACAAACATCAATATGCTTCGACCTCGAGTGAAAGGAGGAATTCTTTGATAAGTGAATGACACTTTGATTATCACAAAATAAGATATATTTTTCTTAATTCACACCATGTTCGATTGAAAATTTCCTCAACCATAGCAACTCTTTTGAAGCTTCCACAACGGCTATAAACTCGACTTTGATAGTAGAGAGTGTAACACACTTTTACAACTTTGATTTCCAAATCACGGCTCCCCCGGCAAAAGTCAACATATATCCCGAAATGGATTTTCAATCATCTAAACTTCCGGCCAAATCTGAATTTGTATATCTAACTAACATAGGCTTCTTACATCCAATAATACGATGGGAGAACTGACTTGGTTTTGCATTTTATCGCAAATATTGCGCATAACAAGAGTCGCCACTGACTTTTCTTTTATCCAATAAAGAAAGGGTGAAAAGAACAGGAAATATCTTCGAGATTTTTGAGTTCGGGGGTAGGTTATGAAAAGGGAATGTGTTAGCACCCTTTTCATTCGTAGTTATCCACAGGCTCTTAATCTCTAGCTCACTTTACAAAATACTTTGTGAATGTGTGTTTGAAAACATTTTGAAAATGTCAATTGTAAGGCAACTTTGTAACGACTCTCATATCTGTCCTCGAGAATGCGTACAAAGTGTTTTTCGAAAAAAATATTTCGAAAGTGTTTGTGTGAAATGTTTTTGTTTTGAAGAGATTTATGAACAAGCGATTAACAATGGTCTACCTACTCAAGGTCTTTACTGTACTTTTACTACTATTTTAGATAGTTCTACCCTACCATTAGTTAGTAGGAAGCCCTATCGTTGGATATGAAGGGACAGGCGTGGGTCATCGTACATTCATCGAAGGCAACTCGTAAGGACGCTTTAGTAACTTTCATAAGGGACTATCATTATTTTATTCGTAGGCAACTCGAGGGACTAGATCATATACTGAAAGGCAACATCGAAAGAGTCATCGAGGGACTATGATCTTTTTGTATGATGACTTGATCGAGGGTCTTTGCTAAGGCGTGTCCACATTCGAGGGACATGAATGTTTAATCTAAAGGCAACAAGAGAGGCTACCCTAGAGGTGCGCATGTGCAAGTGTTTTGTATTCTGTTATTTTGTCTTGAAGTTAGGTTATCCAACGATTAGTTTTTATCATTCCATACAACCCTAATTACTAAGCGGTAATATAACAAGTATAAAAAAGACAGTAAAGGTGCGGAAAGTAAAAGCAAAAAGGATAAACCTAAACCTATTACACGACTTTGGGGAAGTTACATAATAGAAAGCGGAAAGTAAAAATCCTAAACTATTACAACCTGAAAAACGGTTACATAAATAATGAAAAAGGAAAGCGAGAAATCTAAGTTATTACAAATTACGAATCTCATACACTTTATCTATGAAAATAAAATAAAATAAAAATAGAGGAAAAAAAAGAAATGTTTTTTATGATTTTTTTATGTAAAAGGTTTTTTTAATATTGATTAAAATAATCTTAAAAACCAATTAATTTTAATTAACAAAATAATTGATTAATTAAATTAATAAAAAAGGTTAATTATGAAAAACTTAAAAACTAATTAATTTAAATTAACAAAAATAATTAATTAATTAAATTAATAAAAAAGGTTAATAATGAAAAACCTAAAATTTAATTAATTTTAATTAATAAATTAATTGATTAGTTAAATTAATAAAAAAGGATAATGATGAAAAACCTAAAAATTAATTAATTTTAATTAACAAAATAATTGATTAATTAAAATTAAAAAAAAGGTTAATGATAAAAAACCTAAAACCTAATTATTTTTAGGGTTTACAAAAAAAAATTATTTTAGGTTTGTAAAAAAAAGGTTTGTGGTTTTATGGTTAGGTGAATTTAGGGTTTAAGGGGGGAAAATAGGGAAAAAGAGCAAGTTAGAAACAAAATCACACAAAATGTCAGAGGTGGGTGTTGAACCAATGTCCTTAGCCTTCCACACTGCATTAAGGGGAAAAAATAAGGAAAAAGAATAAGTTAGAAGCAAAATCACACAAAATGTTAGGGGTGGGTGTTGAACCCATGCACTTAGCCTTCCACACTACATTAAGGGAAAAAATAGGGGAAAAGGACAAGTTAGAAGCAAAATCACACAAATTATCAGGGGTGGATGTTGAACCCACGCCCTTAGCCTTTATCATTGTTTGCCTTGTCACTGCGCCAAAGCTCACATATTATGCATCAAACCTGCTCTAATGATGTATATGAACACATGTAAATGTGTCAAATTAGTTAATAATGCATAAATCAAAGATTTGAATTTAAAAAAAAACACTATCAAAATCGATGAGGATGAATGTGATGTTCTGGGCACGATCTTGACTGCTTGAGGATTAGGATGAATTCCTGGGCACTTCAAGAGGATAATGCAATGCTTGGTTTCAATTGAGAAGGACTAGAAACAAGGGTTTTTTGTTGCCCTAGTTTCTTAAATTTTTGGAAGTTTTAGAATAGTTTTCTCTGCAAGGGTTTTCGTGTCTAGCTGTGTTATATGAATGAAGAATAAATAGTGATGAATTAGGTAAAACAAAATTGGGCTCGGACCTTGTCATGAAAGTCTTGGTTTTATCCTTTTTAATTTTGAATTTAAATAAATATAATTAAAAATAAATAGAAAAAAATCCAATGGGTGCATGAATATACTTAGAGGTTCTCAATGAGGTCTAATAAACGTTTGGACCTTGAAAAATCATCCCACTAGCCTAAAATTTCGAGTTTGATCAATTTGAGTTTCATGCATTTTCTCGAAATTTTTCAACTTGTGCCAATCATAACTCTCTCATTTTTTATCATGTGAAGGTGATCTTGGACGTTTTGGAAAGCTCAAGATGTCCCCTATAATCTCTATATTAATCAATTTTTTATTTAAAGACTTTATCTTGATGTAAGTTTCCTTGACAAAAAGTGTTTTTTTGTTAACTTTTGGAATGACCTATAATGTTTTGGCTCAAATATTTCAAATGAAGCATTTTTTGGACTTGAGCTTAGAGAGACAAAGTTGTAGAGAATTGAATTTCCTTCACAATGAGCTTTGGTTAAGGAAAATATAATGAAGCGTGTGAAAGTTATGCTTGGTCAAATTTTAGTTGACTTCTCCTTAGGAAAACCCTAATTTGTAACTTTTGACTTTTGATGATTTGAGAGTTTTCCTTGATGAATCATGATTAACCCT